CAAAACCCCAAAACCCCAAAACCCCTTAAAGATCTATTACTTCAAATTTAAATGCATATAATTTAATTAAAAATCTGAGATAACTGTTAAATTTTTCATTTTCTAGACATGAAGCTTATTGCATCTGGAGTAGCATTGGTTATTATCAGCCCCTTAACCTACTTATCCTTCATCAAATGATCTAAAATATTTCTCATCTGGCCTTCACTTCTATTTGGACTCATACTAACTCTCCTAAGGGCTGCTACATGCTCATGACCACCATACTTCTCCCTGCATTCAGGCTTGATCTTTACTAGACTGATATCACATTGATTCTCGAAATCATAGTCATCAACTACCTCCTAGATATCTTCTTTCTGTAGAGTGAATCTTTGCTTTAATATTTTCTAAATTTCTGAGGTCTTTTGATCCATAGCAAACATAGTCTCAATATTGCTTGGCTTGTACTCAAAATCAACCTAACCATTCATAATTTTTCTCTCTAGTTACCCGATTTCTGGATCATGCTGACCTTTTAATACCACATATTAACTAGTCCTAATTGAATATCTGACTGGGACCAATACCTATTGGCCTTTTTTCTCAATGAATTCATATCTAACAAAAGACGCCCCATTGCTTTATTGTTGTTGAGTGCTATTATTCTCCTTTCTTCTTTTGATTTGTGATCTAGTTGTCATTTAAGAGAGCTGAGAGTTCTGGGAGTTAGATCTCTTTCTCTTTCTGCTATGTCTAAGATTTCTCTCAAAAAGCTCATCAATGTTCTCAGTGGTTATTTTTTTCGTTTAACTCTCCTCTATTTAATCTGATTCTGATATAATATTGGCTTATTGCTTGAATTCTTCTGATACTTGCAATTCCTGTTCTTATTGAAGCTCAAGTTCTTTTTAAACTTTCATGTTTTCATCTTCATAAACTGTTTCCATCAGTACATCATTTGGTTAGTTTTCCAAATCCTCTACTTAGTCAAGTATAGGAGTATCATCGGTCATATCTTTTACTTATTCTATTTCTTAGACAACTTCTTCTTGTTCAATTTTATCTTCAATTGAGTGTTAAGACTATTCATTTTCATTAGAAACTGATTTTTAAGAAAGTTCTTATAAAGCTTTTGCAGGAGTATCATTCTAAAATATCTTAGATAAATCTTATTTCTCAACATGATCTTCTGCTTTTAACTCGACCTTTTCTTCATCAAATTCTTTATTGTGATTATTATGGATAAGAAATGTCTGATCCAAAATATTTGCTTGACTTTCTTCATCCTAAATAAATTAGCGATGATCAATAAAGGTCATATCAGCTACATCACCTCCCTAGTTAAGCTAATTCTAAGATTACTCGTCAACTACCTCTTAATCTTATTCTTCTTCTTACATCTATAGCTCTTCTTTTTAGATAACTTCATTCTCTTCCTAATCAACTTCCATTATTTTATCCTCCTCTACTTCTTCATCATATTGATTGAGTTCAGGTGTCTATTATAAAACTTAATCTTCCTCTTAAATCTATGATTAATTTCCCTAAAATTATTATTCTATTTTGCTTTATTCCTCTGAGTAAGCGTCAAAATTTTCATATTTGCTCTAGAAATTAGGAGTGCTAATCTTCGAAATATCAGAATAGGGAGTGATAGGAGCCCTTACTACAAACTCTTAACTAGGTGGCTAGATGTAAACATTTTCAATAACTTCTTTTCTCACTTCTACCTCTACAATATTCTCTTGATTATCTATTCTTTCCTCATACTATTCAAACATATCTTGATTTTATTAAGCCTCCTCTTCAATGGCGGCTTGTTACTACTCATTAGCTGGATTAGCAAAAGTCTCATTGATAATTTTCGTCGGTTGTTCTTAAACTTACTCTTAGTCAACTATATCCTCATTCTATTTTAATATTAATTCATCATCATTGTCATCATTCATTTTATCATGACTTTCTAAGGAATGATCTATGGTTGAAGTTGGAAAATCATTATTGAAAGTAGGAAGGTTTTCTTTTTCATCAGAAAAGTCAACAATACTTCCTAAATCACATTAAAGAATACTAAGATCTTCATTAGAATCTCTCAAGTAACTTAAAATCATTTCTTTGAATTCTTCTCTATTTCCCTCGTTAATTTTCTCAGCTATTAACTTAGTAAAAATGACCCAGAACTTAGGACTTGACTTTAATAGTTTTTCTCCAGTCTTATTGATTGGTGTAGGCTTTAAACTTAGATTTTTTACATCCAAAGGATGATTTGGATTCATTTAGAGATCTAACACCTTCTCTCTAATAAAAAGCATGATGAATTTTTTCTGCCATCTATTAGCATCATTAGCAATAGCTAGCTTCGGATTGACAGCTGCTTCCTAGGTCTTTTTAAATTAACTGTAGATCAAATCAATCTCAAAATGAAGTTAGCTCTTTGTTTGGATTTGGCCTAACACTTATTTAGGAATATTTTATTTTAGAAGTGGCTTGACCATATTTTAAGATGGCGAAATTTTTGAATTAAAGTTTCCATGAGTCTAGTTCAATTGTGCTCTTTTCTAATCAACAATGTGGTTTGTTATTTGCTGTCCCAATGGTTTATTCGATGGTCTGTTGACTAGATTAGTATTAGGTGAAGCTTTTCTTTGAATTGCTTAACTGGATTAGCTAGGATTAAGTGGTTTTTTCTATTGTTTCCATTACTCAAGTTAAAGTTTGCGATCTAGCATTGATGGATTCGTTGAATTGGAATTCATATTTCTTATTTTAAATTTATCTGTTTTTTCGCAATAATCTTACTTAAGGGGTTTTGGGGTTTTGGGGTTTTGGGG